ATCAATTTCTAAAAGAAATGTGCATTTAAATTGAAAAGAAAATCATAATTTAACAGAAAAACTACTTTTTTGGCCATTTTCCATTGTGGTACGCTCCGGCAACCCACCAGATCCAGTCTGTATCCAGATCAGATGGTCACTGCAGTCACCCGGATCCAGTACGTATTCAGACCAGATGGTGGATCAGCACCTAGAGAGGACCTCTACAGCCCTGAAAGACAGCGGAGACCAGGACAACTAGATGAGCCCCAGATACAGATGTTATTCCCCTGTAAAGACCTTGTCTCAGACGACCACCGGGACAAGACCACAGGAACCAGACGATTCCTCTGCACAATGTGACTTTGCTGCAGCCTGAAATTGAACTGCTGGTGTGGTCTGGACAGAGGAGAACTGGCCCCCCGACTGAGCCTGGTTTCTCCCAAGGTTTTTTCTCCATTCTGTCACCGATGGAGTTTTGGTGCCTTGCCGCTGTCGCCTCTGGCTTGCTTAGTTGGAGACACTTCATTTCCAGCGATATCGTCGCCTTGATTGCACAGATACTATGATACTATGAACTGAGCTGAATGAAGACATCACTGAATTCAATGATGAACTGTCTTTAACTGGAAAATTAGTGTTTACTATTGTCATTTTGCATTATTGACACACTATTTTCCTAATTAATGCTGTTCAGTTGCTTTGACACAATCTGTATTGTTAAAAGCGCTATATAAATAAAGGTGACTGACTGACTGATTTCAATTTATCATTTTAATTCCAATCATGTCGTGTATAGGTGGAAGGACACTCCATATTTCTCAAAGATAGCACCCATTGGTAGCATAAATATAGAAAATAAAACTGGGGCAAGAATTGAGCCCTGTGGCACCCCACAAGCAAGTGGGCGTGAGGACGAACTATGTTGGCCAATGGAAACACTAAAACTTCTGTTTGTTAAAAAAGATTGAAACCATTTCAACACCTTGCCCTGTAACACAACATAGCTCTCCAACCTTGAAATCAAGATATTGTGGTCAACCATATCAAATGCAGAGCTTAAGTCTAAAAGCACCAAAGCCACAGCATTCCCTTTATCTGTTTCTAGTCAAATATCATTTACAACTTTTAAAAGTGCAGTTTCCGTGCTGTGTTGAGACTTAAAACCCGATTGGACTTTTTCAAAAATATTATTTGACATCAAATGGGACTGCAGCGGGGTCAACACAACTTTCTCAAGAATCTTAGAAAAAAATTGCAAGTTTGATATAGGCTTAAAATTATAAAAATTCAAGAAATCAAGATTGGGCCTCTTTAATAATGGAGTTACTGTAGCTGTTTTTAGGCAGTCAGGAACAACCCCAGTAATGAGACTAGTATTAAAAATAGTTAAAATATCGTGTCCAACAGTATTGAAAATCTGTTTTAGAAATCTAGATGGAATGATATCTTGAGAAGATGAAGTTGATTGATGATAGTTGATCTGGTAGTTTTTTGGTTTCCAGAACATTCCAGGAATGTTGGGTTTGGTTCCAAGATTATTAGTGTGGTTTGCGCTGCGAGTGTGCATGAGCGCTCAGTCTCCAGGAGAGTGCGCAAGCACTGAATGGTTAAACTGCCAAGAATTAAAAAGTAATGCAATTTATAAACTTTAGTGACGATGTGACACTACCTCGATTGTGCAAGTGACAATTCCTGTGTCAACTGTGCAGCTCTCTTATAGTGCAGACGTGATGGGATTTGAAGCCATTTGTGCGTTTTGAGAGAGAAAGAGCTAGAGAGCGAGGTGATTCACTAATGCTGACTGTGAAATTATGTCTCACAGAAAGTTTTCAAATTACTTTATACGTTATTTAATGAAGAAATATGAATTGTACCTCACCTTCAGCATTATAATTATTTCACCCACGCCGGACAGATACTGCGACGGTGCCGCTGCATGTCGTGCCAAACCTCTCACATCAGCATCATCAGCTTGAGATCGGTTTTTTAGATCAGATTTAACATCCCAGCACGATTATCGGCTGATAGTGATCTGTAGCCGATCAATCGGAGCACCCCTAGTTATCAACGCCCTGGTGACCCCGACGCCCTGAGATCATGCTGGTTTGTTCTGTACAAGCAGCTCAATGTACATCGCATGTGTTTGCTAAGCAGGGTGTGGCTCTGCTGTCGTCTGATTGGCTGTTGTGGTTTGAGGTCTTTTAACTGTAGAAAGCCATTAGCATTTCAGACAAACACGAGCGCTGTAAATGATGTGATGTAAACACTGCGGTCAGAACATCTAATGGATCCAGCCAAGAGTTCCTGTTCTATTCCTGTGCTCTATGAAAGCCCGATCGATTCCCGGGTGAATTATAGATCGCTCCAATATTTCATTTGAAGCCTTTGATAAAAGAGTGTGATGGTAATAAAGAGTCCAAGCATTCATCTCTATTCATCTAGACTGCATACTAATCACATCTGCAGCGTCTTCATTAGCGGGAACAAACAGGCCTTAAGATCTGGTTCCCAGAACGTTCTGGGAATGTTACTTTTTGGTTCCCAGAACGTTAGTTTTTGGTTCCCAGAATGTTCCTGGAATTTTAGTTTTTTTTTGTTTCCAGAACGTTCTGGGAATGTTAGTTTTTGTTTCCAAGAATGTTAGATTTTGGTTCCCAGAACGTTAGTTTTTGGTTCCAAGAATCTTCCGGCAATGTAAATTTTTGGTTCCCAGAATGTTCCAGGAATGTTACTTTTTTTGGGGTTTCCAGAACGTTCTGGGAATGTTCGTTTTTGTTTCCCAGAACGTTTTTAATTGAAGAGAATTATCCAGGGGTGCATTTCCCAAAAGCATGGTTAGCTAACTATAGTGGTAAGTTCTACTGAACTCTATTGGTAACGACGGAACTTCCGACCATAGTTGCTTTTGGGAAACACTCCCCTGGATAGTTCTCTTCATGGAAATAGAATTTTGTTTTATGTTTGCAGAACATTACTAACTTTCAGCTCACATTGTCCTAACATTCCTCTAACCTCTTTACTCCAATATTATTTTACCCTGCTGTGCATCAGTAATCTTCCAGCGCTCTCGCGAACCTTTATAGGATACGCTTTGAATGAATGAATGAATGAATGCCGATAATCAGAACTATACAAACATGTCTTGTTTTGATCTATTGTTTAATTAGTGAAATAATCCGAGTGCATCAACCATCAAACACTGGAATTAATTCATATGTAAGATTTAACTTGTTCATTTATATAGGCGGTTTCTAGTATATTTACTGTAATAATCCAGATTTCACATTTCTTCAGCACCTAAAAATAACCTGTAGGGAACATTCCCTTTTGCTCTCACAAAAACCAAACCTCCCTGCAACATTCTGAAAGTTAAAAAACCCATTATGGGAACGTTCTGTGGGTTATTGCTGCTGTCTCAGTCAGGTGTAGATGCGTTTGAGTAACGCTAATGTAATCACTGCATCCTGATACAGATGTTTTTGCTGGGAAATCAATGCAGATATGCTCTGGATATGAGCTGAGAGGACCAGAGAAGGTCGGTCTGCTGCATCTTGGCGGCGGTTTTGTAATTAATTGAGATGTTGTTCCAAAGATGCTCTCTGGAGTTGGTCTGTTTAATTAAAGTCCGGCGCGGCTCCAGAGACGCTCTTCCTGTAATTGTACTGTGAGCTTCTGAGTGAGAACATCTACAGGGTCAAAAAGCACATCAGTGAAGTTCTTCAGAGACTGCGGCGATGCTTCAGACGGGCTATTCTTAGCCGCGGTTGTTTGTTGGAAATCCCTGAGCATAGCAGACACGCCTGAGTGTGTTCCTGAGTAAACGCTGCAGGATATTTCAGCTCTGCTGACGCTGCAGAATGTTTCTGAGTCTCTCGCTCAAACCTCAGCTGACCTGCTCCTGCGGCGAGAACACGCTTCTGCTTCATCAGCGTCACACTTCAGATGCACACACAAGATGCTGCTTTTACTTGACCATACGTCTGTATCGCTAAATTAAGATTTGACAGATTCTATGTTTAAAACAGCGTTTCGTCAGGTCTAAAATATGGAATTTGAATTATTTATTCTAATTATTATTAATTATTATTATTATTACTATTTCATGAGCACTGGTGCCTTAGTGGGCGTTTTATAAAAAGCTATAAAGTTACTTGATGCTGGCATTTTTTGTAATTTTATGTATAATAAATATATATATTTTATGTTGTTAATTTATAATTTTATTTTTTGTGTATTATATTTTTATATTTATATTATTTTTTTGTTCTCGGACAGAGACCCCTTTGACCGTGATAAAAATTACTTTTAATTATAATAATAATTTACCCACTACTTCAATATGATACACAACAATTTTCTGTATGTGATACACAAGTAATTTTATGTATAATATATTTTATATTGTTATTTTGTTATTTTTTTAGTGCTGTCAAACGATTAATCGCATCCAAAATAAAAGTTTTTGTTCACGAAGTATGTGTGTGTGTACTGTTACGTTTATATATTAAATATATTTATATATAATATAAATTAAATTAATATAAATATATAGATGTGAAATATATACTGTATGTGTGTATTTATATAAATATATTTATATATATTTATAATAAATATACACAGTACGCACAGATATATTATGTAAATAAAACTTTTATTTTGGTTGCGATTAATCGCGATTAATCGTTTGACAGCACAATTTTTTTTATATTATTAGTATTATCATTATATTTTTGTTCTCCGGCACAGACCCCTTTAACCATGGTAAAATTTTTTTGATTTATAATTATCCACTACATAAATATGACGATACAGTAGACAACAGTGTTCACAATAGTTACATGTATTCATAATTAGAATAAAGTGAAATGTGTAATGTAACTGCAGCTGTTTACAGTTGCTAAGTACCGCAGAAGTTCCGTCACAATGTAACCTTGATTCTATCCTGTTGAGAACCTCTAAAACAAGAGTGAAGATGAAACTGTGTGTGTGTGTTTGTGTGTGTGGGTGTGTTTCAGGTGGCTGATTTCATCCATTCTTTACCCGGCTGTGAGGAACAGGCCAAGCAGTTCAGAGAGGAGGTACGTGTGGAGCTGAGGAGCAATTTAACGAGTTTCAAATGTGATTCTTTCTCCACTTACAGCCACAGCAGCTTAAATCAAACACAGACCAAAGAAAATACCACCGTACTCTTTCACTACACTCTTACGCATTTTAAATCACATTTGCTCCACTGTGAATTTTAACACAAATGTTCCTAATTACTGTTTGTGTCTCTTGTTTCAAGTAAAAGAATCACAACAAACTTAACTTGAGAAGCAAAATTATGAGAGAGATTAAAGTTTGAAATAATTACAATAAACAGTCGTGCTGCACAATATTTTTGTGGAAACCATGATACATTTTATTTTTCAGGATTCACAGATGAATAGAAAGTTCAAAAGAGCAGAATTTATCTGGTGTGTTTCAGGTGGCTGATTTCATCCATTCTTTACCCGGCTGTGAGGAACAGGCCAAGCAGTTCAGAGAGGAGGTACGTGTGGAGAAAAAATCCAAGGAGTTTCAAATGTGATTTTTCTCCACTTCCAGCCGCAGCAGCTTCAAATCAAACACAGATGAGAGAAATCCTGCTTTACTCTTTCACTACAAATGCAGTGAAATCACACCTGCTCCACTGCAAACAAATGTTCCTGATTAGTATTCGTGTCTCTGTTTCAAGTAAAAGAATCAAAGCTAACTTAAAATAAAATGCATTTACTTGAAGCGAAATTATGATGAATATTAAAGGTTGGAATATTTTTAATGTTTCTGGAAGAGTCTCTTCTGCTCAGCAAGGCTGCATTTATTTGATAAAGAATCACAACAAACTTAACTTGAGAAGCAAAATTATGAGAGAGATTAAAGTTTGAAATAATTACAATAAACAGTCGTGCTGCACAATATTTTTGTGGAAACCATGATACATTTTATTTTTCAGGATTCACAGATGAATAGAAAGTTCAAAAGAGCAGAATTTATCTGAAACGGAAATCTTTTGTAACATTATAAATGTCTTTACTGGTACTTTTGATCAGTTTAATGCATCCTTGATGAATAGAAGTATACATTTTTTTCTCATATATTTTTTTATAAACTAAAGAGTACATTTTCAGAGAATATTTATTTATTTTTCTAGCTGTCTGCAAGCATCAGTTGTCAAGGAAGAGAGACTATAAATACAGTTTAACTGCATCAGATTTAAGATCACATTATGATTTCATAGTGTCGTTAGTGTTCATTAGCAGCTTTACATGATGGTTAAACACACTGACTCTGTAATGTTTTCTGCTGACTCCCTCACCAGCAAATCGACGGGAAGGCCTTTCTTCTGTTGACGCAGCGAGACATCGTTAAGATAATGAGCGTGAAGCTCGGCCCGGCCCTCAAGATCTACAACTCGATCCTGATGTTCAAACACGCCGAGGATAAGAAGCAGCCGCCGGCGGGAGACACATGAAGCACAGATTAATCTACTGTATCCATGCATTCCCAACGCCTCCGTTAGTGCTAATCACCCTACGGCCTCGTCTCCGTCAGGTTCCCTTTCTGCCTTTAAACCCTCTCCTTTTCCTTCTCAAACTCAACCACGCGACAATCAAACGCAGTCGCCGGCGTCTATGAGAGGTTTCTCTCGGTCACGGTGCTATGTGTACGCAAACACAAACAGGCGAACAGCGACTACAGGATTTGCTCTTGTGTGTGTGTGTGTGTGTGTGTGTGTGTGTGTGACTCTAAATAAACAGTATATCCGCTAATGAACGTTTTGTCATCGTTTACTCGCTCTTTACATGACCAAACCCCTGTGACTTTCACAAAACAACATGCTGCTGTTTTCAGTGTAAAGGAAGTGAATGGAGACTCGAGTGAATGACACAAACAGCTCCGTATCGTATAATCATCTGTACAGCTTTGAATAAGGACTGAAAATGTTCGGTTTCTCTCCAATCAAGTTAGTGCTGGGCAATGATTAATCGCGATTAATCGCATTAAAAATAAAAGTTTTTGTTTATATATGTGTGTGTGCTGTGTATATTCACATATATATATATATATACACACACATGCATGTATATATATATTTGAGAAAAATGTTGTGTTTATATATTAAACATTTATATTATATATATAAATTAGTGCTGTCAAATGATTAATCGTGATTAATTGCGTCCAAATTAAAAAATGTTTTACATACTATATGTATGTGTACTGTTTTTATTTATTTTGTATATATAAATACACACATACAGTATATATTTTGAAAATATTTAAGTACATATATATTATGTAAACAAACTTTTATTTTGAATGCGATTAATCGCGATTAATCGTTTGACCGCACTAATTCAACCAGTTCTGTTGATATTAGTGACATTGAGTTTTTGTAGTCTATTTCAGAGGAGAGGAAGATTATCAGTCAATAATGACTTTATACTATTCATATGAGTTCAGAGAAACATTTTCATGGTGCTTTTTACGTCATTTTGGAGCTATTATATGAAAAAGAACATGTTCTTTTGAAAGAAAGTCATTTGGGTTTGAGTAAACAACTCTTCCGTAATACTCAGAGATTTGGGCCCGTTCTGTTTCTTCCTCTAATTTTATTTTGTTTTGTACAGTTCTGTATGATTTTGCTGAACCTGCTGAATCACCTTTTATTTATTGTGCAGAATCACCGTACATTTGCACAGGGAAGGATAATAATAATATATTGTATGTGATCGATTTCAAATGCCAAAAGGATTTGTTTTAAATTGAAGAGTGTTTATTTTTGTGATGTCTCGCGCAGATTAGACCAATCCCTGTTTATGTTTCTTAAAATATACTTTATTAGCGTGAATGGCTCTGTGAGAATGTGATCTGAATTCTGGTTTCGCATCAGGGCATTTTCTGATGATTATTTAAAGACTTGCTATAATGCACAAAGCAAACGATATATATATTTGCTATGAATTTTGACATTGGTGTGATTTCAATGACGAATCCATCATGTTTATTTAATTTAGCCAAATGTCAGGAATGTACATCCATCTTGTGTGCGTTTTAGTTTTTGTTCCTTCAGTTTCCCAGCGCAGAATGAGGACGTTTCATTGCATTGCTGTATTAGTTCAGATATGATGATTGATTTATTGATCAGATCAGATGCTTTGTACGTATTTATAAACCCTCTTTCTTAAACACACTTTGTACAACAGATTTCATTCAGTCACATCAGCACCCTAATAAACCGTGCAAATCTCCTCCGAATACTGTCGTCTCTGTTCCTACTGAATTAAATCAGATTTCAGCTGAACACAACATAAATGGAGCTGCATGCTTCATGGTTCATATTTGATGTGTCGGGTTTATATTAAATCACAGGTGGATGTTCTTGAGCAACACTTGATTTTATTCACTGTGAAACATCAGGACACAATAAATGTGTGTCTCTCCTGTCTTTCTGTAGGACAGCAGCAGCATTAGTGGAGGAATGCATTGATTTATCTGCATTTATTAATAGAGTTCAGCTCAAGCAGAGCAAAGCAGGAGAATCTCAACCTGAAGCAGCCTGATAGCAGTTCATCTGAATCTGAATGTAAATGTTCTGTGAGTGTCATGTTGATGTTCCTGCAGCTTCATGACCTTCAGATGTTCCTCAACCATCTGGATGACTGGTCACGGGTAAATCAATCACGTTAAGCTTATTTATTTATAAACCAGTTATCACTTATGTTGTGCACAGCTGGTGAAGCTGATAACGGAGTAGTTGACCAAAAATGGCCATCTGAGATTAGGATGGGTTTGTTTGGAGAAATGTAGCATTGCATCAGTGTCTCAGCAATGGATGCTCTGCAGTGAATGGGTGCCGTCAGAATGAGAGTCCAAACAGCTGATAAAAACATCACAATAATCCACAAGTAATCCACACCACTCCAGTCCATCAGTTAACATCTGGAGAAGACAAAAGCTGAAACTAATCCAGCATTAAGATG